GAAAAAGTGATGCGCTGCTTGTAATGTTTCTCCCTTTTACAAATACTGCTTTCATCCCCTTCATTTTATGCTTGATGTTACACACGAACGACCTTAACCCCCCTGCATCAAGCATTTCATAGCAAGATAACTTTGATCGGGTTGCTATCTATAAGCAGAACTGAAACTCTCTAACAGCGCTTTAATGAAAAACACTTAAAATTAAAATTGCTATTGATTTTTAATCTGGCTTTGTGTTTTCAGTTGTATTTATGACCAAAAAAAGTTGTGATGCCAGTGTGTCTCTTATAGAACAGCACATATGGTAAACTCTGTTTTGGCAATCATGTAAATGAAGTGGTAAATAAAATGTTTGGAAGTGGATAGCATTTATTAATACATAATCCTGAAGTTCCTGCCAGAAGGTCTGTTAAGGCATTAATATTAATGCTTGACTTGAACTCTTGATCTTTTCTAATATACTATGTTTTATTAACAAGCTAATTAGCAGAAACTTAAGAATCGTTTGCTCAGTTATATTAACAAGAACAGCTGCTATGATATAACAAAGTGTATTAAAAGTGAGCTAGCAGTGTTAAGTTCCTAAAAATATTCCTTTAGGCCAAGGGATCAACCAGACAATAATAAAAGAGTGCCCCTTACTTAAACTCAGCTGTCAGTATTAACTTCCTACAGTCTGAAGGCTTCATGCTCAGGTGCACTATATTGTTGTAGGCCTACCAAAAAGTACTAATGCAGTGATATCTAGGACAACAGACCTTCAGTTTCTGGGGAGGGATGCAGTCTTGTAGTTGAGCAAAAGGATGGAAAGTTTGAAATAGAAGTAAGTTCATGTTGTAAGTAAGTTCATGTTGTTGGCATTGACGTGCCATAAGACTTATCAGCAGAAGCTGAGAGGTCGCTTATGGACGCCTGCCTCCTTCCCTTCTTGACTGTGGTGGCTTCTTTTGAGGTATAGTATTGTAGAGCTTTGGGTCCCACAGTCCACTGAATCTCTTAAACCTGGTTGTAGCTTTTCCTTGTCCTTTGTCTTACCTGCCATCTCCCACCCCAGTACTGTCTGATCCTGCTCTTCTCTCACTGTGCTTCTCGGCTCTCCTTTCCCTCACCATCACTTGGTGATTCTTTTCCATCTCACACCCAGTGCTCCAGCTCCACCACAAAGTAATAGTAATATATTGATGACTTCCTGAAACACCAAGCAACTAAACCCATCAAACTAACATTTTACATCCATGTCTTGTGTAACAGTCACTCCGTGCATCTATTTTCATTCTACTTTTGTAACAGTGGGACATAACTATCCCAGCTGGAGAGTAAGGCTCCATTGTTTTAAGGCACAAATCAAGGTTTTTACCACTCCAGTACCATCCTTTCTCAGATTATGGGAATAGCTGTGACAGTCCATAGGAGAACATCCAGTCCTGTCGGAGGAGCATGTGCATGAAGTTTATATTTAGAATTAACATAAATGGACACGCGTAGGAGGCCTGTATGATTAAAATATGAGGAAGAAATAAACTGTTACGGTCACCTCTGCTCTTTGCCCCAGTGGAAAACTACAGTGTAGCCTGTGTATATAAATGTATTGGAAACTTGGAGACAATGGAAGAAACACAGGTTTCAGTTCAAAATGCGATATCTGCGCTCATTAAATATTTAATGGAAGTAAATTTCACTTGTTCCATTAAGGGAGTATATAATTAGCAAACACAAAGAACACATAGGTACACTTCTCAACACTTAAGTATTTATTTGCATTTTGAAATAACTGAATATGGCACAGCTCTAGCACTATAGTTAATTCTTGCTGTGCTGGGTTTGTGTGGTGGGATTTTTTGGTAGCAGGGGAGGGAGCTACAGTGGTGACCTCCGGTGAGAAGCTTCTCATGAGCTCCCCCGGCTCCAAGGGAGACCCAGCTCTGTCCAGGGCCAAACCAGTTAGGTTTGGTGGCTGTGCCCCTGTGATAACGTATTGAAGAAGGAGAACCTGAGAGGAGGCGTTGGGGATTGTGAGGGGAAGTTGTGTGGAGGAGTAATGAGAAGGAGACCTAGGTGGTCACCCAAGTCAGTGGAAGGAAGGAGGAGGAAGCGGCAGAGGTGTGCCGGAGCAGAGACGTCCTGGAGCCTATGGTGGAGACAGCAGGGCCACCCCGCTGCCACCCATGGAGGTCACCGGTGGAGCAGAGGCTGACCTGAGGCCTGTGGAGGAGCCCACATTGAAGCAAGCAGCTGCACCTGGAGAAGCCGGGACTCTGAGAGGAGAAGCAGCTCCCACTGTGGTGGTTCGGCGCTGGGAGGACTGCAACACGCCGGGGTGACCCACGCCGGAGCAGCATGGGAACGGCTGCGGCCCCTGGGGAGGGACTCAAGTTGGAGAAAGTTCGTGATGGACTGTCTGCAGTGAAAGGGGGACCATGCTGGAGCAGAAGAGGAATGCAAGGAGTCCTCCCCCTGAGGAGGAAAGAGCAGTGAGCTGACTGTAACCCCCATCCCCTGCCCCCTGTGCCCCTGGGAGGGGAGGTAGAGAGATGGGGAGCAGAGCTGAGCCCAGGGAGAAGGGAGGGGTGGGGGAGAAGGTGTTTTCAAGGTGTGGTAATGCTTCTCACTGTCCTACTAAGTCTACTAAATGTTGTTGTTAGTGTTTGTGTTAAATTTATGTTCTTTTTTTCTTCCCCCAATGAGTCTGTCTTTTGCCCAGGAAGTAGTGGGTGTAGCCACTCCTCCCTGTCCTTATCTCAATCGTGAGCATTTTACTTCATTATCTCCCTCCCATTCCTGAGGGGGAAGAGGGGATTGAGTGACTGTGTGGTGCTCAGTTGCTCTCTGGGCTCAAACCACGACACTTGCTAAGAGTACTGATTTTTTTTTTTTTTTTTTTAGCACAGCACAGTTTTAAGAACAGGGAAAATGATAAAAGTAGAAAAGAAAAGTAGTGTTGCTGTTCCTCTAAATGGAAAAGAAAGATTTCAAGGTCTGTGAAGACATATGTAAATTTTGCTGGAAGGGAGACTTTGGAGGACAGGATGCTCTAGAGCATTCTAGAAAAGAAGTATCATTGACTTTATTAAACTGAAGAATAACCTAACAGAACAAATTCAGACATGAAGTGCCTTCATTCATTTGAGGTGGATCACTGACAGAACAAGAAGCATACTCTAAAAATTTAATTCTTTGTACTTTTCTATTTAAAAAAAAATTCTTTATAAAACAAACAAAAAAATTAAGGTTCCTTGTTTGTCATTTTCTTTAGCAGGAAAAAAAAGAGGTGTGTTGGTGGTGTTCTCTATTGCAGAGTTTGAGATAGGGAAGAAACTATAAATGTATGGGCGAGTAGGGAAAAAATACATTTTGGGGGAAAGAGACCAGGCCGCTCATTAGTTTGGATATTTCTCATCTCTAAAAAGAACTTGCCTATTTTAATTAAAATATTCCTTTTTTTTTAATAAGAACCATTTTCTTGAGGAAATGTATAATGAAATTGAACTGAAGATTCAAAGTTAGTATGAGAATATGCAGTAATAAGATATATGTCAGTTCATGTAAAAAACAAAACAAAACAAAACAAAACAAAACAAATGTTTTGTCTTCTACATATAATTATATTATGGGCTGTGCTGGGTGGGTTTTTTCTAATTAATGTCTTACCCTTGCAAGAAGACAGGATTCCTGTGTTCTGATGCATTCCTTAAGACCCAGACTGTGTTAGAAACCTTCGTTGGTGCAGCAATAGAAATGCATGTTTCATTATTTCTGTGTCATTTACAAGTCAAATGCATATGAGGAACACCTATTTAAGTGTTTCTTATGGTATATTTTTCTTCACTTGAGCAACTAGTATAAACTACTGATGTGGTGTTTGATTTTTGTGTTTGTTTGTTTAATATTCCATATAATTTTCCATGTCCCTGTGAAGCACTTCTTGCATGACAGGGATTTGCATGAATAACCACGTTAACTGCACTCCTGTGACCTACAGGTGACTCTCAGTACAGAATGAGACAGGCTGATATTAGTAAGATCTCAGCTTCCTTTGCTAAGTTGTCATGTGTTTCACACATAATTACTAGGGCTTCTGAAGGTCAATATTTTTTTTTTCTCTGCAAATTAAAGGAGGGGAATTGTTCTTAGCAAGAGATAGAATTATTGAAATTAGAAAAAAATCTAGGATATTATTTGTGAGAGGGGCTCTAAAAATGTTGCTTTTTGGTAGTTTAGTCTTTAAAGAGGTTTTTGACTGAACTGGACCACCAGTTTCTAGAGTTGGTATGTCAGCTGCAAAAGAAGACCTAGCTTCTGGAAACCGGGAAGAGTGGCTCACCTGAAAATCCCTGGGAGGTGGAGAGCTGGTGTGGGAGGAGGATTTGGCAAAGTGAGGGGCAGCGGTGGGAGGAGAGGAGAAGGATGTGTGCGGAAACTGTGGTGAGAGCTGCAGCTTGCAGTTGTGTGCACTAACCCTCCAGTAACATTTAGCAGGGATGAGCTGTTCTGCTTCCGCAAGTGGATTCTTCATTTTTATGGTAGCTGACATTTTGTGGTATAAAATCTGAGCTGTAGTTTAAGTTATTCCTCCACTCTTCATACATACAAAACCATGCCAAAAATATGAACAGCTATTTGCAATACTAAGCTTAAAAGTATGAACAACTTAATTTCTTTAGATTTTGAATTTAATAACAAACAGTAAAAGTTTAAAATTTCACATAGATATTTTTATACTTTAAGAGGAAGTGATACCTGTTTTTCTTCTTTTTTTTTCTTTCCCCATCCAGTTGATTTTCACAGTAGATCAGATCTCAGCAGTCGTGGACGAGAAATCCAATATTAGGAATACATCTGTGGTGGCTCATGTTGATCACAGCAGATCAACCTCGATGGATTCCTTGGTGTGTAAAGCAGGCGTCGTTGCTTCAGCCAGAGCTGGAGAAACACGATTCATAGACACATGGAAAGATGAGCAAGAAAGATGTCTCACAATCAAGTCTATGTAAGAATTTGTTGGTATCTTTCTCTTTCTTCTTTTTTTTTTTTTTTTTTTTCTTTCTTTTAAATCTGGGGACAGACAAATGGTTTGCTCAAAGATTTGCATCTTGTCAGATCTTTTTTAAGTTGACATGTGAATCAAGCTGTGCATTACAGAACAGAACTTCACAGTCTTCAGAGTGCAATCTGGGTAGTGTTGGAGTAAAGCTTTTAAGTGGTACCCAGCGACCATTCTTACCTGCATCTCACTATGGAGAAAGATGCTTTCAGAAAGTTTCTTAGTAATAAGCTTTGTTTTTATTGGATTGCTTACAGACGAATACCCTGTTCCTCCAAGCCACTGTGATGGGCTGTGTCTTGTTACTATTACTTCTGTCTTCAGTGTCTGCAACTGCAAAGGTAACAAGTTGTAAAGTGATTTGGGGCATGACTCTGCAAGTGTCTGACAGTGATATTATACTGTGACTACTATCCTGAGGTGTTGATTTTGAATAAGAGTAAAAATTAATTACGCCCAAAGCAGAATGTTAGATCCTAAGAACTTCAGAATTTGAAATATAGAAGTCTACTTGTGGTTTTTCATTTATCAAGAAATATTGGCGCTGTAATAGATCAGGTATAGTTGCCTGACCCGTGCAAATTTTAAAATCAGCAAATTATGAAACATTATTAAATAATTTAAATTAATTTTCTTCTCTTACAGGGTAATTTGTATGTACTATGAACTCCCAGACAAGAACTTGGCCTTCATCAAACAGCATATGGATGGTTCAGGTTTTCTTATTAACTTAACTAACTCCCCTGGACATGTTGATTTCTCCTCTGAAGTTACCGCAGCTCTCTATGTCACTGATGATGCCCTTGTTGTGGTTGTGTTTCAGGAAGGAAGCATGCTCTTCTAATTAAAAAGATCTCAGTGTATTTTATTTTCTTCCTCTTTAAAAAAAAAAAAAAAAAAAAAATGATTGATGGAAGATGCTTCTTTCTCTGAAAGTTTAACTTCAAGTGGGTTGAATTCTGATTTGCAATTTTACCCCATGGCCTTTCGTGTATCTTAGAGTATTATATCAACTTTGTATCCAGCTTGTGGGTTGAATGTAAAGTAACTGATGAAATAAAGTCAATCTTTCAGTAAAATCGTAGTGAATGGAGCTACCTGTCATTCTTCTTCTCCTTCAGTTAGAAAATGGAGCAATACGTGCAACTGGGTAATGACAGTTTCAGTTGCTGGCTGGGGTTAAACCATGACAACTACCAAATTCCCATTTTGACTTTCCCAGTCACCACTGTACAAAGTAGATGAGGGATCTTGCCTATATTTATAATGCATGTTTTAATTGTGCTTATATTTTTAAAGGAGTTTATGTACAGAAGGAGACTGTTCTGTGGCAGACTATTGCAGCACACATCAAACCAGTACTGATGATGGGCAAAATGGATCGTGCATTGCCAGAATTGCAGCTGGAGCCTGAGGAACTTTACCAGCCATTTCAGTGTATTGTGGAAAATGTCGCTGTCATCATTTGCACCTACAGAGAGGGTGAAACAGGACCAATGGGTAATATTATGGTAAAGAAAACTTTAAAACTTCGCTGTGGCTGAAATCCTATTTTGGAGAATACCAGCCTTGATATGAAACAATTGCATACAATTATGGCAGTTCAGATCTCTGGCCAACCTGAAGGAACCATTCTCCAGTCCCTTTCCACCCCCACTGCTTCATACTTTTTCTTCTGGGGACATTATTTCAGACCAACCAACTGGGGGAACAAAAGCAACTAGGAGAGAGGAGAGAATTAACAAAGCAGATCATCCTGTAGTGATGCTTTCTCACTAAGAAAATGTGTAACCTCAAGCCAGTTGCTCAGTGTCATTCAGACATCAAATGTCAGACATTTGCCTGGGGCAAACTGCTGAAGTGAAACTATGGTTTGAAATTTAAGGCAAAGGACCAGAAACCAGAAGATTATTTTTCTGTGCCTGACTTTGCTGCTTATGTCACTTACATGACAAGAAACATGGCCTTACTGCTATTCCTGACTCATAAGACATTTCATTTATTCTTTTCTGATCTGAAGATGTAGGTCTCTTATTCTACCAGAAATTACATCATAATATGCTGGATATCTCTGGAAGGAAGGTTTGAAACTAGAAAGACAAATCATATTTCCTGTATTGGAGCTGAGAATTTTGAAATAAGAAAACAAAGTCAACTGCGAATCTTCTCTAGAGGTCCAGCTGTTAGAGTAAGGAATTGTCATAATCAGGCTGCTTCAGATACTGTTTTTTTCACCTAATAGCTACAAGACAGACCTCCTCACCAGAGTTTTCAGACCTGCTTCCCATTGTTTAAATGTGACCATCCTCTACTAGCTTGTTTCATGGCTAAAATTGTCTGCAGCTTAATCTGTTTACTGGAACAAAGGGCTCTCAGCTAGGATTGTATTCTGATTCTTATATTCCATGAATCTCAGTCATTCTTAAGTCAGACCAGTTTTATCTGTGTGGCAGGAATGAATATTTTAGTTTCCAGAGAAAATTCACCAACAGTCCAATTAATATTCTTTACAGAGTCATAATCTTCCAAGTCCTACTTAGCACTTTACAAATATATTTCTGAAGTTTTTATTTTCCCCTTTGCTATAAATATTTCCGCTGTATGTGACAAAGTAAGGTCCTTGCCACAAAGTAATATTTAATAGACCCATTTTAGGAGAAATATTTTCTTGTTCTGTGTTTCAGAAAATATTTGACATCTTTACTAATACTACCTGTCATTGAAAACAATTGATACATTTGCAATCAGTGTTTTGTGAAATGCATTAATTTTTTTTCTCCTTTTAAAGATTGACTGTTGGGTTTGGCTCTGGTCTGCATGGATGGGCATTTACTCTGAAGCAGTTTGCTGAGATGTATGTGACCAAATTTGCTGCCAAAGGTGAAAAAGCACAACTCCCTCCAGTCAAGCATTCTAAGAAAGTGGAAGAGGTGATGAAAAAACTCTGGGGTGTTAAGTAAGTAACACAGTACACATGGAATGAATGTAGATACATGCTTAGATAGCACAGTGACACTCTGAGGATATCCGTGACACATACCAGTGCATGTTAAGTTTGTGCTTCTGTTAGACTAAGCTTCCATAGGCAGATTAGAAAGCTAGAGACATGAGTTTGTAACTCTTACAAGAAAAATATTTATGTATCTGAGAAAAGCAATTGCTTGTGATGCAGATATGTTTTATGTGCCTTCTGTGGTGAGTTCTGATAACCTGCTTCATAAAAGCACAGGGGAAATTCACTCTCAGATCTTCAGAACATAAATGCTTTTATTGAACTGCACAGGTAGAATTAATGCACAACACAATATTATGAACCAATTCCAGTCTTTTGATACCATTGAGTGTTTCCGTGAATTTAATGAGCCTTAAGTTTTATCTCATAAATGATGGAGTTAATTTCCTGTTAGATGTGTACACAATTTGTTGTTAACTGAATGCTTTATAGATGTGAAAGCTCAATACATTTGCTTGTCTTCTGATGCTTTATAATAAATTAACCTACCTTGACTCATTTAGCTCACAGGGTACTCCAAGGTTTATCTTGTATGGTATTTAAATTATTTTAACAGGGCTTAAAAAGACAGTTATACATAACAGAGTAGAGTAAGAGAAATTTTAGCAACAGGTTTGCTTAGAGTGCCTAGTTCCCTGTAAAAGCCTAAAAATGTATGTTGAAGTTAGTTTTTTTAAGTGTAGTAGAAAACCTCAGTAACCTAAACAAACAAAAATCCATCTTTTGCCTCCTCAAACATCTAACAGTTATTGCTACATTCAAATAAGGATTAGCCACTCTTCTGCTCTTTTAATCTGCACTTAAATGTGAAACTTTACAAAGTTTTCTTTTAAAAATAACTAAGCAGAAATTTGCATGAAAAGTGGATACTCCTCAAGTCCAAGCTAGATGAGTAAAAATAAACATCTTCTTTAGATATTTTGATCCAGCAACTAGAAAATTCAGCAAATCAGCCACTAGCCCAGACAGAAAGAAGTTGCCAAGGACATTTTGCCAGCTAGTTCTGGAACCAGTCTTTAAGGTAAGGCAATATTTTGTCTTGATTTGATTGCAAGGGTGTAAGGGCAGACGTTTTTTTTGTTTAGCAGGTTAGCTCTTAGGAAAGCCATCCATCTCGTAAAGAAGGTCCATATTTTCTGCAGAGACTAGAAAAATTCTGCAGTATAAGAACAATGTGCAAAAGGTGGGACAGGAGAAGAAGGCAGCAAATCTAAATGTTCTGTTCACTGAAATAACATTTTGCATATCATTAGATTAAAGGTTTGTGTGTTGTATGTGTGAACCTATTCTGATAGGAATTTGGAATTTCCTTTGGAATTAGAAACTTTTTATATAATTCGTGACTCTTGAGCTATATGATCGTTGCAAATAGTTTCTCAAACAAAGGCCCGGAACAGAGAAACCAGAGGGTGTTCAGACATACAACATCTTTATGGTAAATGCCAAGCAAAACCTGTCTCCGTTACATTACTTACTCTGGTCACTATAAACTTGTTTCAGATCTTTGATGCCATTATGAATTTTAAGAAGGAAGAGACAGCCAAACTGATAGAGAAACTTGATATCAAGCTAGACATTGAAGATCAAGATAAAGAAGAAAAACCACTTCTTAAGGTAACTTGGCCTTTCTACTTCATTAGAATTGCCAGTGTGGTAGCGTTTCTTACCCTTGAGCTGTGTAACGAGAACAGTCTTGTAGATCTTTCTGAAATCCACAGAAATTTACCTTAATTGTCTTTTTATAATCTGGTCAGTGGTTAATTTGTGCATCAGGAATGACATGATTTGAAGTGAGGTGCTTGGTAATGTATTGCACTGAATTTTCTAGAAGTATAACAGGACATACATGTGTTGCAGCATACAAAAGACATGCCTGTTTTGATTTAAGAAAAGGGAGAGAATTTTTTTTCACATATTAAAAACCCCGCCAATACTGCCTCCCTCCCTCTTCCCAAGGTGTAAATGCAATGCTAATACAAAGTGTCTGTTGCCACTCATGAATACTGTGGCTGTGTAATCAAGAACATGGTTTCTGGTTGGTTCTCACAAATTCCAATATATTCAAGAACACTGCTGAATTCCAGTCAGCCTTTTGAAGAGTAATGTCTGAAAGCACGTGATCACTTCATATGCAGCACTGAATGTTAAGAGCAGAGACTTTAAGAAACTGTCCAGTTTATGTGTTAACTTGTGTTCTGTGCAGGTATGTTAAAACCCACATGAAAAGGCAGCCCAGGGAATACACGTGTAAACTTCTTGAAATAGTCACTGGAGAGGAGAAATCCAACCACATCACTGTGGCAGACGGCCAGGGATTTAATAAAACATTTGGGTTTATTTTTGTCTTACATATATGGAAGATACAGCCATAAAATATGACTATTCATGGATCTTTTTCTTTCTACTATTGTAATCTCTTGTCAGCAGAGAAGGAGGACATTCGTGTTTTGTTTCAGGAGCTTAATATAATACAAGAATTCTAACCTCTCTGTTGAAAAGTAAGTCACTAGCCCAAGGAAAAAAAGACTGCAAGGAGTGCTGGTTTTCGGTAATTCAAATGTACAGTTATGTTCAAATTGCTTATTCTAGAGAATAATTTTACTCCTAGCCTTTAACAAGATTAAGGTAGTCATAGGGAAATTTCAAGTGGCTGTCATGTCTTTTTACATTGCATCCCTAGGTGTAGTCTTCTGCACGCTATCCAACAGGTTTATTTGGGGATCAGTTATTATGTTTGTTAAAAGAAGTTTTATTTACATTGTGAATTTTGGGTCCCTAGACTGTGATGCATCACTGGCTGCCTGCTGGAGACGCCTTGCTTCAGATGATCACCATTCACTTACCTTCCCCTGTAACAGTACAAAAGTACCTCTGTGAACTTCTTTATGAGGGGCCACCTGATGATGAAGCTGCTATGGGTAAAACAAAATTTCCCAGCTTACTGGAGGCTGTCAGAAATACAGCTGTAGTGCACAGGTGAGTAAAACTGCCTAAAATGGGTTTGGATTAAGTTTCTGTATTATAATGGTAATTACTAATTTGTGACTTTGTTTAGCAGGATATTACAAAAAGTAAGAAAACAAAGGAAATGCCTTTAGGTACTACACATAAAACTTGCTTTATGTCCTTATATGCCTGTTGCATGTAAAACCACATTGTATTTATCTTAGATTCAGAGAACATGTGGTTGAGATGAGCAGGAATATGTTATGTACCAGCCTTTGGATATACTGTAAGAGATGAATGGAGCAGCAAGTTCATTACCTTCATTCTCTCTGCAGCTTTTACTGTGGTCTCCTAGTGACTCCTGTGATTTCCCCTCATAGTCAGAATCATAACAAAACACTTTGCTTTCAAACGCTCCTAACGTGTTGCCTGGTAGCTGACATGTTGTTACTGTTCTCTGATTCACTCTCAGCCTTAAAGGTGGAGGGTGGAAATCTGGTAAAGAATGGTACCATCTCCCAGTTGTCTGAAGGTGTGGCTGAGATCATGACTAGATAAAGAGCAAATAGCTGAATCTGAATCTGATACAGGGCTGTAGGTCTGACATTGATAGGAAGGAATTAAGTTATGAAGAATTCATCTGTAATATGATCAGGAACTTGAGTACTTCCGAGAGGATTTGCACTTCTTGGATTTGTGCAGATTTGTCACTTCCCTCAGAAATCAACAGATGTTGAAATGAAAATTACTTCAAATACGATTTATTTATGCCCAGTATTAGCAGAAGAGAAGCTTATCTGTGATGACTCCCATCTAACACAAACCATTCGGTGATTCTATGATTCTGTGGCATGTGTTTTTAATCCTCTAATAAACTGTTAACTCTTTCTCACAAAATCAGAACAGGACTTCTGGTTAGACATCCTGCTTCTGACCGTATCATCCATATAATCACTGAGGATGCAAACTTCTAGCGCTGTATTTTATCTTCTGGATTCTAATGGATTGCAGGGGATCTTCAAATCCCCCCATTCAAAACTTCTCCTGGGACTAGAGCGTATGAGTAGAGATTTAGTGATATCATGGAACGTGCTACCAGAAGAGGGAAGCTTGGGCAAGCAGGGAATAAGTACTAACAGAGGTTTCAGTGCTGAAAGAAACAACAGTGGTGATGATTCGTTACCTTAACAAAGAATCTTTGACAGCTACCACAGCTATAAT